GGTTCTGCGAAGACGTAAGATGGGAAGTTCACCTCGCCAGACACCCGTCAAATCAATCCCTCGACAAGAATCTGCTTCTCCTGGACTTTTCGTCACACCTAGTGCTGGCAGGTCGGCCACGCCACAGGCCGATGCTTCCGATCCAGATGACCTTCAAACGGACTCGATATCGAAATCAAATAAAACTTTCCAGGACTTGGTTGCCAGGAAACGCCAAGAACGGCATGCGAAAGAAGCGGAAGATAGAAAGAAGAAGGCTGCGAAAGCTGAAGAAAGGAAACGACTGGCCGCATTGATCGAAGATGACAATCAACTTGAAAGCGAGGATGAAGGAGGACAACGACTTACACAGCAAAATCGTCCAACCCGGAAGGCTAGCAAGAGAGCTATCGAGGAAATGCACAGAGAGACTCAGCGACTGTCGAGGAACATGCAATTGGCTCACAAAGCTACAAATAAGAAGAAGATCACTAAACAGAGCTTGTTTGCCAAATTTGGCTACAGACAAACTGAGGGGACTAATACTGTTTCTTCTGACCCTGCTAGACCCACAAGTTCAAGTCCTCCGCCCGCACCACAATCAGACATTGAGATGCAAGAAACACCGCCCACATCTCCACCAGATGATTTGGACACTCACGATAAACGAGAGGCCGCCGGTCCTTCTATGGTTACAAGCACAGCTATGGATATGGGGGATGAAGAGGGCTTGCCTACTCTTGAGGAAGCTCTGGAATCGTCACCACCTTCAAGGAGAGACAAGGGCAAAGGAAAGGCTGTCGACACAGACCTGACCGAAGCTTTATCTGAGAAGAAGCCTGTCTTCAAGCAGCGACCAATTCAGATAAGGCCAGCGAAAGTCAGTACTGGTGACTTGGAGCTTGATTCGGATAGTGATCTCGAGATTGTGAAACCAAAGAAATCTACTCGCAATGCCAAATTAGATGCGATATTTAAGCGTATTCCGGAAAAACAAGCCAAGGAACCTCACTCGATGGTGGCTTTACGAATGCTTGCACACCTTGGATCGCCTGGAAAGCAAAATTCTGGAAGAAATAAAATACCATCGATTACAGCCCAAGATCTACAAATCAGTCTTCAATTAAAGGCAAGGCAACAAGCACACCGAGAAAGAGAGGAGCGACTCCAGGCCCTTAGAGATCGAGGAATCATCGTACAGACTGCCGAGGAACGAGAAAAGGAGATGGCAGAGGTTGATGACTTACTCGCTAAGGCTCGCCGTGAAGGAGAAGAGATTCAGGCAAGGGAAAAGGCAGCTGCTAAGAGAGAGCGTAAATTCAATGGTGAAGTAGATCCACTGGATGATAGCAGCGACGATGAGGACTGGCAAGAGACGAATGAAATACCGGAAGAGGAAGAAGTTTCCGGCTCAGAAGATAACGAGCATGAGGACTCTGAAAATGAAGAAAGTGGTGAAGATGAGGATGAGGAAATTGAGGAAGAAGAGGCAATTGAGAACCCCGTACCTAATCCCTTATTCGACAATGAGGCGGAGGAAGATGGAGAATCTGAAATTGATCTTTCTATACCAGAAGATCAAGTTAATCTCATGGATGCCGAGGACGAAGAAGAAACTCTACCTGTCCATCGGCGGTCCAGAAAATCGAGAGTCTCGAACATTATCTCCGATGACGATGAAGATGAGGATCTTCTCACAAAGACACCCAAAGCTCCCAGAACTCTATCTTTGTCGCAGCCGCGAACAGACTCACCGGTAATCCCAACTTCAGTTCTTCGTTCAGCAACTAAAACATTCATACCTGGCTTACCCATAACGGGCCCTGCTGGACTCGGTCTTACACAGATATTCCAGGGTACAATGGATGATAGCCAAGATATATTTGAATCATCAAATTCAGAGCCACAAACCTTAGACGTAAAGGAACACTCCTTGGATTTCCTTCGCCGAAGAGCTATGCCTGAGCTGCCCGATTTTGTTCCTACTATGATTGACGAAGAAACACAAGACATGGTAATGGATAGTCAAACACAAATACCAGCATCACAACCAGCAGACAATGAAACACAGGGAATCCAAGTCTCATTCTCACAATCGCAAATTCATGATTTTGACAGTTTGGTCGAGAACCCATTATCAACCCAAGCCTCCGAATTTCCCAATACTCAGGATAAAGGATTCTCGATGATCACACCCATTAAATCTCGATTTATGGATCCACCTTCGACCGCAGGCACATTTACGATGGGATCACAATCTACTCAAACGATTGGTGATAATATTCAAGAAACGCCTATTGTGAAGAGGAAAGGAAAGCTCCGCAGAAGGGCCCGAGCCATCTCTATGTCCGATGAGGATGAATCATTGAATGCTACTCGAGAGGATAACAATCAAAATGATGACTTTGAAATTACCGCCGACGCTTTTGATGTCATGCGTAAAGCCGCCAAAAGGAAGCCGAAGGTTGTTGAAGAATTTGATAAGAAAAAGAGTAATGCTAAGAACATGGTCAATGAACAAGCCGAGGAATCAGAAGACGAGTATGCTGGTTTGGGTGGCGCCAGTGACGATGAAAGTGGAGGGGAAGAGGATGCTTTTGTCAAAGAAATGATAGATGATGAAAAGAAAGACATCGACGAGAGCGAACTTGCCAAATTCTATGCGTAAGTTGTTGAAATTCAAACAAATGTGTCATTGCTAACCATTTTAGTGACCGCGAGAGAGCAAGCGATGAGAAGCAAATAGAGAAGCTTTACAATGATATCTCCAAGGGCATGCTTCGACGCAAACGAGGTGCCGATTATGATCTTTCGGACTCGGATGATGGTGGAGAAGCACGCCAGCGCCGAAAACGCGCAGCAGAAGCCAAGATGCGTAAAGCTTTACTTGCAGACGAAAAGATTGGAAAGATTGCACAGAATCCCAAAAAGGAGGCTTTCCTTCGTGCAATCGAGGATCGAGGAAGTGACGATGAGATGGGATTTCTAGATGACTTCCAAGAAAATGACGATACTTCTGACTCACAATCTCAAACCCAAAACGACGAATCTCAGCAACCTATACCGAACCAGACTGGAGAAGCCATGGGCCCTCCGTCAAAACGTAAGCATTCTGATAGCACTGGTTATGTCCGACCACCACCACACTTGCGACGTACAGGGAAGAAGCCCTCGAATTTATCAGAGGTTCGAGAATCACTGTCAAGTCTCATTGAAGATACTCATGCTATGGTTACTTCAACAAATTCCGAGTCTGATTCAGATGATGATCTGGAAATTGAAGGGGGCCCAGAACAACGGACTCGAAAGAATCGTGATCCTTTCGCCATACGCAGAACGGGAACGTCCATCATCGACAGAATACAACTGAAGCGTGAATCTTCGAGCAATGTTGCTGCCAACAATGAACGTCTAGCATTCGCAGCACCTTCATCGCAACCAGGTCACAGGGTAGTACCTCTATTGAGAAAAGCCACGACAAATAGCAGTATTTTATCTGGAACATCAAGCACTGGTGTAAGCATTGGTATGTCAGCAACAGAGCGGATGGCTGGTGGCAAGGACGAAGGATCAGGTATCAGGAGAGGGGGAGGCAAGCATAGTGGAGTGAACTCTTTTGTCAGGGAAAGTGAACGGAAAGCTATGATGGAGAAGAAGGAAAAGAGAAGAGAACAGAAGAAATTCAAGGGAGTGGAAAGTAGGCGCAAGGCCGTTGGTGGTTTGTTTGGAAAAGGTACATTCGAATAAGGTTATTCTGCACTGGGTCAGACTGGATTGTCTATGTCTGGATTAGCATTAGGTGTTTCTGGTGTAAACAAATTGGCAGGAGCCATAGGGTTTTTGAGATTTGATGTTGAATTATTCATGATGTTAATGCCAAGATTTTATATCCTGATCTTTTCTGCCGTGTGATATTATAAATTGCTGCACCCCCGCGAATTTTGTTTGTTGAAGGAACGAGCAAGCTCCAAATTGTACTTTGCAATACCACACTTACATCAGATTTTATAGCGAGCCATTACACAGCATGAGAATCGTTTGAGGGCGATGTTAGAATCAAAAATAATGTGCAATCCAAGCAAAACAATGAATATAGGTTCATGTCATAGATCAGCCCATATATACCAGTATTCGCGTCAACCTTTGCCAACATAACTCCATCTTCCCTTTGCATCATAGCCCATTGTATCCTTCCAAGATCATCCCAACAAATGATTGCAAGCCCGAGCACGCGATCAAATGCCACAATAACCAAGTGATACAAATCGTTCTTCATCCGGTTCACCGTCCATATCTCATCCCAAATATTAATAGAATTAGCATAAAGTTACCACATAGAAATTCCCAAGACGTACACACCTCCCCTGCATACAAAGTACATACCATATCTTCCTAAACCCACAATAAGTGACCGGATAATAATGTGTAACATGGACGAGTCTGGATTTTCCTGCATGTCCGACTGCTGGAATGAGAACCCATGTTGCGACCGGCTGAAGTGGACTGAAAGTAAGGAACGTGGGACTCGGTGGAAGAGCCGGAGTGGAGGGAAAGGTATAGTTTAAATGTCTATCACGAAATAGAAACCACTTCTTTTTATCAGATCTTTTTTGATCTGATAAAGAAAGGGGTGGAGACCCATTGACTAAGAGGACGCTAGAGACCGAGAAACGGACGAGGGACGAGGGAAATACCTGTTCTGTTATATTGTCGGTCGGAACTTCTTATCACTTTATGAACTTCCTTTTTATTGTTTGTCTACTCGAGTCTTAGGTTATGTTTCACTTTGAGTCAATAAAAGGAGAAGAACAATTCAATTGTTAAAAAATCAAATCTTCTTACAAGTTTCTTGTGTGTAGTCTAAATAAGAAACAATCACACGTCAACATCTGATTGTTGTTCATTCATATCCATTTCCTTATCCTTATCGTCATCACTATCGTCATCATTCATACCATTCCTATCATCTACCACAACATCTATAGTCTCCTCTTCCTACACAACACTCTTCAAATTCCAAAATGGTAGTATTTATCGATTTAGAAGATGATTCCGAACCTCCAGAGCAAGTGGGAAATGAATTGAGCCATTTGCAGAATGGAATAAATGGATTTCAAAAGCCTGTTTGGGGCGGATTTGGGGAGGCGAATAAGAGAGTAAATGCACTTGCATTGACGTTGGATCAAGACGACAGGGTGAATCCAAATAAAAATGTCATCACAGAGGCATTGGGCTGTTATCCGTCAGTTCTTGTTCATCATTAATTATATTCACTTGTGAATCATACAATCAGGAAGAGGCTAATATTCTCGCAGTATCATATCTGCCATAGCATCTAATATCGACCTCAACACTCTCGATGCACTCTCTCATACATGCCGTCAAGTTCGAGTCAATCTACTTCAATTTCGCTCCAAGCTTCTCACATCAACTCTTCATTGCGAAAACGAGGATGTAGAGCTCGATCCCGAACATACATTTCGTTATCGAGCGCGGGCCGCAGATTACTATTTTGTTGAAAGCGGACGCGATGCACACGGTAGTGGGAAAGTGGGTGATTGTGCTAGAGATCTGGTAGGGGAGTGTCGCAAGTGCGGAAGGGTGGTTTGTAGGGTATGTGTTATTAAAGGATATTGGGATCTGTATAGGCGCTGTGTCCACATATTATAGAGGCTAATTCTGTGCAAACAGAACTGCACTATTAAACCGCCTGGCCCCGTTCTCTTACGTCATCGTCATCGACGCATGTGTAATACATGCTCGAAGGCTCCTCTTTCTTCTTTGGTCGCTGGCTCTTCATCATCATGTTGCCCCTCTTCTTCCTCAAATACACATGATCATACCCTTTCATTATCCCCTGAAACAATCAAAGCTTCTCTTTGCAGTTGCCCAACAGCTGTGTGGCTCTGTCAGCCCTGTGGGCGATCTCTCCGCTCCACCGATCAAGAATACGAAGGCATCTGGAAATGGCGTACACGCTACCTTCCATCCTTAGGCGGGCTCGGCGTTGGCATTGGCGAAGGAAATCGTGGTGTTCCTTGCGGCCGTGGTAGTACCTGTTTAGCCGCCATAGAAGTAGAACAAGAAACCGACTGTGACGCCGAAGACGCGCGTGAATTCGAAGAATCTAGTCGAGCCGGGTCTCCAGCATCTAGTCCAGGAGGAAGTATATTTGGAGGCACGAGTCCGAATAGCAGTGAGAGGAACTTAACTCTAGGGCCTGGATATGCAAGACATGAAATTGAGGGGATTGGAGGGGTCATGAAGAAGAAGAGGGTTAAAATGGTGAAGGTAGGGGCTTGTGTGCCAGAATTTGGTGATGAGAAAAGTGCGGGGAGATATTTGGTTAGGGAGATGGAGGGGAAGGCAAGGAGTTGGTGTGGGTGGTGTCATAGGGTTGTGAAGGGGAGTGACGACGTCGTCTAACGAGCTAAGCTAGCGAAGTGGCGGATAGAATGAAAGGGGCAGAGTGTAGGGGTGAAGGGGTTTCAATGAGTATCGAAAAACAAACAAGAATTAAGGATACTGATATGTCTGGTAGCGATGTAGATAGAGGTATGAAGGAATAGCACACAACGTGCACGAAAACTGGGAATTAGGATACCTAAGTATATGCACATGGGCGATGATGATATGCAAGCATCAGGGGACGAAGCGTTTACCTATTGAATTAATGACCCTTTTATTCTTCATCTTTTCATTCCAAATCATGATCTTACTTTTCAATTAATAAGCTACATTGGTGAAGCTAATTACTCACTTAAACCATACGCAGAATATCAGTACGCATCCGAGGCTAAATGGATATCGTGCAAAGGAGATATGTAATTTACTTTCTAGATCATCAAACTCACACAATACATATTTCTGCTTGTTTCTGCGATTTCATAAGAGCTTTTGTAATCTACAAACTTTTCTACTTGGGCTTAGAGGTAAACGAGATAATGAGATAATGAGATAATGATATTTGATAGTCAAAGAACGTGCAGACTCATTTCTTTCGCTTCTCTCGCGTAACTTCCTTCTCCCTTACATCGCTCTGATAACACTTTCAATATCCACGCACTCAATCACATTACTCTGACGCTTCTTCCAAATTTCTCATTTTTGTTGCATATCTGCTTTAGGTTCTTGAGCTTGGAGAAAGAACTCTAGAACTTGGTAATCTTACTTTCGAAGTCGTGGCTATGGTAAGATTAGGTACTAGATAGGTATCTTCGTCATTTTTGTGTGTCCTAGTATATGCATTTCGCTGTGCTCGTTTAATGGAGTGGGTATCTACTCGTAGAATTTTCGGAGGACAGTGGAAGGGTGTGTTGTATAGATATAGGTACTTGGGGATTTGAGGATTTGAGGATTTAAGTCTGGGAGTGCTCTGCTCTGTAGTTAGTGCCGTGTGGTCGGAGTTTGTTTGTTTGTAATGTAATGTAATGTAATTTAATATAATGTATCTGGTGGATTGGAGGTAGATGTTTAGTTGGTAGGTGATGTAAGATTATCATGGATGGGTGTGCGTTTTAACACTGAGTGTTTTTCTCGCTGTTTGGAAAGAAATATCGTTTCTACTTACTGGTCACTCGTTTTCCTGCTTCATCACGTCTTTTGCTTTTGTGGAGATTTCTTGGATTCGAGGATTCTTTTTCTTGACTTGATTTGAATAACTTGAACGTCTGGTTTGTTGTCAAATGAGATAAATTGTGAGATATTGCAAATAAAACATCAGGAGATTGGAAGTTTTCTTTGGGATATCAATGAAATTTCTATGCTCATCTTCTTGGTATCATACAGTGCAAGTGCAAGTGAAAGAAGTACAGTAGCGACGCTGCAGAATGAGAACTGAGTAATATCAAGTCTATGTAAGGAAGTATTCTTCATCACTTTGTAGATAGTTCACAAATACATGACATCTAACAAGAAACCATTGCCATCAATTTTGAGTATACCACTCTATCTCTTCTTAAAAATATAACAAGAACATGACAAATCCCCGACATCTCTCCTTTCTCCTCTTTACCAATTGAAATCTATCCATCTATCATCTCATCCTTTCGCATCTCGTCACCATTATAATCTCCTCTCCAGCCCACTAAACAACACTTCCCGGCTCCAACGCCGGCTCATCTTTCTTCCTCCGAAACTTCTCCACAAATCCCTCGTCAAAACTCTTCATCTCCTTTTCATTTGTACTCTTTACCCTTCTCAACGACCAGAAATTATAAAACACAAATAGAATACCCGTTGTACACGCAATTATGGCGGTAACTATCGCAGTGATCCTATGCGCAGATGGGGAGTAAGTAGATGTATATTGTAATAACAAGACATATTTTGGAGAAGAAAAAAACAACCAAATTGCTCCCTCTGCTCGCCCAACAAAATTAATTTCCTTATAAAGAAAACTTCCCACCCACCTAGCAGTAATACTCCACGCTCCCTTTTGCTGACCATAAACCCCCACCAGCGTCCTGACGAATCCCGCAACACTGTTGAGACAACCCGGGAGGAATATTTTATTCAAAAGCCACACGTAATTTCGTCGATGTGTATGCCACAGCCATAGCATACCCATTGCACCGATACCACAGCTGAAACTTGCAATCCAGAGAAGCGGGATATTCTTTGCAGCGTGGAGAATATGTTGGGTGGTTGCATCTGGGAGATCGGAGGGAAGGGAAGAAGAGGGAAGAGATTGGAGAGAGGTGAATGTGCCCGGGAAGATTATGAAGCCCGCCAGAAGGATCCCTCGAGGGTGTTAGAGTAGGTGGAATGGTGATTGGGGAATTGAGATTCGAGGGGTAAGATGACTTACAAATAAAGAATGATATGTATATGTTGTGCATGCGGGGAATAGTGTCAAGAGAAAGAAGCATATTCATATATCTCGTTTGCACGCTATTCTATCTATTTAAGCCGGCCGGTCTCACAGATTTCAAAGTCGAATTTCCTGTGATAGTTGAAGAATTTGATTTCTTCGATCCATGACGGAAAGGTTGATGAGAGGTCGATTGGGGGATTGTTTGGGTTTTGGATGGCTTTGGCGAAGTAACTTGAGATCGTATTTTTGTTGTACTGTTACGATTAAGTCTTCCATCGCCAGTGTAGGTACTTTTTGGTGGGTCTATTGGAAGGGTGTTTGACCGAGGCATATTCGATTGTATTTTTGCAGGGGAGCTCAATGTCTTAGTTTAAAGTGAACTTTATTTCAGGGGAAAGTGGACGTTTATGATTCATGCTAGATAACATGTGAATCATTGTAAAAAACCAAAAAAAAATTTATGGCACAGTTTTGTGAATTGGGAATATCATGTCATGTTTTGGACGAGATGAATCAAGGTATCGATCGGATTTCCAATTGAGAACTATACTACCATGCCTGAGAAAAAGTTGCCACGGGACTATAGATTTATCTCGACACCATTCGGAGACAATTTCTGCTATTGTATTGAATCAATGTTGATCACAGTACCCGATAGGAGGTTATTCGTAAATGGTTTGATATCATGGGGGTGGGGCCAAAATCAAGATTTACCCCTGGCGCTTGCAAATGCGTGATGACGTGAATTTGGTTTTGCGAGGAGAATAGACGAAGTCCTTTTCAAATTTGAGAAAACTACTCAAGATAATATCGCAAGCAGAGAACAACATAATTGTAATCCTAATCTGAAAATAGGCACAGTAGCTTTTGTGATAGGTTCAATTATTGGGTCTTTCAAATATAGAATGGACAAGGAAGCTTTTCCTGACATTTCCGGTATTTCCCTACCAACGCCAACGCTATGCAAAAAAAGACAATTCCTCATTAGACTTCCTATTTTACCCCAGCCACAAGCAGATCTAGCATACCCTTGACCTGCATCGCCTTTTGTGACCTTTCTACTTCTGCCCTTACACGTCGATGTAAGAACCTGATTTGGCGTTCTAATTCTGGCGATTCAGAGGTATACTCTGCGTATATGTCCAAGAGCAGCATAGCAGCATCAGTACATATGGGAACATATCGAGGATCAGTAATATGTTTTGATACCCATTTGAAAATTGGTTGTATTGTAGTCTCGTCACGCTTTTCGAATGCTGCTCGCATGGCACTTCTGTGTCGAAGCGCTGTGAGAAGTGTAAGAACAGTGACTGCGGGGAGGCCTTTCTGGAGTACACAATCTAGCGCTTGATGATATCGACCGAGTTGGAGTTCACGCTCCCATTCTGGGGCCTTTCGCTTTGTTGAACGTGCATTACCCTCAATTACCACATCTGCTCCTTCTCCCATAAAATCCATTCCTCTGAGCCTCTTTTCTACTCCGCTAGTGTGTTTTCTCTTCTTGTTCTTCTTATCGTATTCCTCTAATGTACCGTCGAGCAAGGCTTGCATCTCTTTCGCTCTTTCTCTTTCTTTCACCTTTTGCTGGCCTGATAGTCGTGTTTTGATGGATAAGACACCAGATTGCATACCTACAACCAAATGCTTGTCCTCACGATTGACACCAGAGCTAACAACATTGACTGACAAAACAGGAGCTGAGTATTTGAGTCCAGTTACAACATTCCATCCCGTGGTTTCAAAAACCTTGACATGGCCATCCAAGCCACCACTAACCAGTCTAGTAGCGTTTGATGCGAGGCACAATGAAGTCACAGTCTTCTGATGGTTCTTGATGATGTGCAATGGCTTTCCAGCAACCAAATCAAGGACCGAGATTTGGTTATCAGCTGCAGCAAGAACGGTGGTCCCGGAAGGCATAGGAAGTACAGTCTCGATTGGTGCGGCATGCTTGAAAGTCATAGCTGCTCTAGCTGGAACTCTAGGATCCCATAATCTGACAGTCTCGTCGTAACTACCAGTCAAGATCATATTCGACATTGACCCAGGCATGAAAGCACCACTTCTAACATAATCGGTATGTCCAGTGAAGGTAGTTGTACTTTCTTGACTTGGCAGATCCCAAAGCTTAACAGTTCTATCATCACTAGCACTCATGAGAGTTGTCAATTCTGTTGGCGAAAACTTTGTGGTCCAAACTGGCTGCTTGTGTTCTTCCCAAGTTTTTAAGATGGCTCTTGAATTCACATCAAAGACCTGTATCTTTCCCGTTTCGTCACCTGCCACCATAACACGTCCATCTCGTCGAATCTCTCCGCTATGCGCAACATCTGAGAACCGAGTGATAGTCTTTACTAATTTTCGTGTGCGAATTGAGTAGATCTGGAGTCGAGTACCAGTTGTAACACAGAAGTAATCATTTCCGGAAGGTGATAAAGCGTTTGTTGGTGGAGGAGGGAACGATATGTGCGTAATAGGATAATTCGTTGGTGATGGAATGAGTTGCTGGGAGCGAAAACCCTTCCAATATCGTTGTTCAGGTGTAATTGGCGAAGGAGCAGTAGGGAGTTTAACGGCCGGTAGACCTATCACTGGCGCGGACATCTTGATTACTTACAAAGGGAAAGGTAAAATTAAGATGTCGCAGAAAGAATTTAATATTTCAGATTGAGAAAGCTTGCGATGCGATACGCAAAAAAAAAAGTTAAGGACGGGATCTGGGCTATTTTTCCCGACAATCCACTAGGCCATTCTAAGTTAGCCAAGGCTATACCTGCCATTATTGGAGTTCAGATCTTTTCATCACTGTTTCATTTGGCCCATTCATTCATTCATTCATTCATTCATTATGTATGAGTGCGAAGTTGGTAAAATACCTAGGTATACACAGTACTTGATATTTGGTTGCATTACTCTCTATGGCAGAGCTCCATTTGTCTCAGAATTATCTTATGTACTTATCCCAGCCTTGGTAGTTAGTAATGGTGGTGCTTTAGAACAGTACATACCTGACTACCCAGGTAGGTAGTGATAGGACCACAGTTTCATACTGTGCTAAATCTCACAAAGACAGTGTTGAGGTAGTCTATCTCAGATTAATTTGTATCTACAAGTGTAGCTTGCATCTACCTTTCCATGTCCTTCCTGTGAATCGTCAAATCATTAACCACTGTTATCTAGCATTAAGTTTAAGTTCAACACATTCTGTTATTCACATACTCACAAGTCACAAATTCATATCCAAAGTCTACAGAAGGTACTCTGTGACTTTACTCTTGCAAAATCCAGTTTAAGTTGAGAGGGTGAGATACCCTCTGCTGGCTGAGAAGCACTTGTATATTGATCTCCCTTGTCTTTGATTAAAATGCTCTCAAAACCAAACTGATAATTCAAGTGGTATATCAATGTTTACACTGACGGCTACCTGTCTTTTTTCTGAATATACTCTGCTCTATTCTCATCTCTTGTCCTGCTCAATACTATTCATATTCTAGTCTTGAATACACCGCATATCATCTATCTTGTCAAGGATACTAAAAATGATCTCCCATGCCAAATTCTGCATTCAAAGCCCCAAAATTGATGAAAACGCAAAACTCAATTACTCTCCGAGACTCAACGCGTATTGCTACACAGCATATTATCAGAATAAGACCTGCTAGGTGAGAAGTGTTTGGTAGTTTGATTCACTCTTGTGATGATACAACTTAAGAAATCTGCCTGTCAAATTCACAAATGTGTTTTTTGTTGAATTTTGACATCACTACGAGAAATGAAAGCATCAAGATCAATCTGCCCAGAAATTAAGCTATAGCAATTTTGATTCAAAAAAACTCTTGTCCATAACTCAAGTTTTGCGATACAATCGAGTTTATGGTCATTATTATTCAATGAAAAATAAGGAAAAATAAAAGCCCCAATGTCTTTCGCTCTACAGAAGAGCAAGAAGTCTCTCCGAAAAGAGTCAACTGACCTCCCCGAATCTTCTTTGCACGACGTCCTGTTTCCCCAACTTGTTACTACATTCTATCTCAGCTTCATTCCTGCAGCCCCAAACGCCGAATCCCATTATCCTGCGCCGCAAAGTAAAATTGACGATCTCAACATCAACCACACAGCCATGACTATAATGAACCAAAGCGGATCGGTAGGTATGTCTATGCTCCATGATGCGATTCCAAGACTCTCGGGTTGTACTGAGGACTGATTATAAATCGTGGGATCATTTCATTCTCTTTCGCTTGTTTGAAATGATCAAAGGCAAAATCGCCAAAGGAATTGATCTAGCTATTCTTCGAGGTTCGATGTCGCTCGCCGAGTGGGTGTTTGTATTTCAGTGGGATTCTTGACGAGTATCACTTCCACCTCTCGGATAAATATCAGATGCCGCAACAGTTCCTCCTCCTCCAAGAACGGCGCTCTGTTCTTTCTTACACCGCTATTGATGGTCCATCCTTTTGTCTCGATATGTTGATCAGAGAAACTAACCCAATTGCCAATATGACACATGCGACAATAGCCAAGACGATAATGTTAGACATGCTGTTAATGGCCTAGATCTGTGTACAAGAACGACTTGAGGTAGAGTGACAGTAGGAAGCTTATTGTGCAAAGGTTGAATGAAGTCCTGATGTTACAGACGTGTTTAGACGATGAATATAATAGAGACTGACAAGAATATTGGACAGTAAATTTCCTTTGCAAAATGAGCTAAGGCAAAGAAGGCAAAATTGCGATGTGAAGAGAATGCAAGAGATGCTGTTGACGAACAGGAGAAAGCAACAGAAAATATACGAATACTTCCAGCTTTATATATCTGTCAAATTTTCCTTATTTGCACACATTACAACTTTGTTATTGGGGTATTATTATTCTCCTTGTATATGATTAAATCTGTATAGGGTAAGTCAGCCAAGGCATTCATCCAGTGCATGTACTAGCTTACATCGAACATGGACCCCTATGACAGAATTAGAAAGATACAACATCTACTTGCCGTATAAGCCTCTTACTCGTATCAGCACCAAAATCTACCTAGACTGAAGCTTTTGAATTAGCATATTGCTCTTGGATTCAAGAAAGTTATCCATTCCAATCAGATTCTGGCCTCGTATACGTTCGTCTACCATTCGCTGGCTAGATCACAAATAGAATCAATGGATCAAGGCTAGTTCAGCAGTTAATTTCGTGTATGCTAGTATCCAAGGCCCAGTCAGCTGTCAAAATCCGACTCGAGACAAAGCTCCCCTTGCAGTAGAAGCTACCGACCATTGGTATTTTAGGAATTGAATTCTCCACTAATCCAAAAGAGCCAATCGCATTACGCTGTGTACGGCCCACGAAACATTTTCACAAAAGGATTACACGGGTGGAATTGACGGAATTGACTACCGATCATCTCCAATCGTCTATAATCTTCCCTGTTTCAGTCAAAGAATCGTGTAAGGACATACTAATAAGACGCTGCTAATATTGACACCTTTTACAAGGTTATCGGCATCTAATACAACAATGAATGCCATGGTCTATACTTAAATTCGCTGGAAACAAAGTTATATCCAATGCAGAGATTCGAAACTATGAAATTTGTCTTAGAAATTAGGGCTTATCTTTCTGCCTCGTCTCGTAAGGACCCTGTCAATACAAGCGGGGTATGTACCGAAAAGCGAATCATCTTAATTTGGTTTAGCGTTCAAATATTTGATATTCTTATATCGAAGTGTTCAGCATACCTGCAATGTATTGTGGCTGAGCAAAATCAATTGCGTTATTCGCTTTGCGGAAATTTCTATTTACTATGTGTAGCTGAGCTTCATGCTCCTTTTCATTGGCAGTTGCAGACTTTTTTTTAAAGGGATCCGTGTCTAGATTTTATCCATCTTCCAAATTGGCTCGTAAGGACCTGGTCTCCTTACGATAGTGGATTGTCCGTCAAAAGTTTGTCATTTAGAACCATGTCATTCTCACAGTAGCTTGTACTGCATCTCCGAGCGAATCGAGATCTTCGACATTATTTTTGGGAAGCTTGCCTCTAGTCACGACAGGCCTAAAAGATTTGATAACGAATCTGAAGATCAAGGATCATTAAGCCTTGCTACAAGTAGGATCTCAGAGGCTAAGCCTTGTATGATGATCTCGACCCTTGACTTCTTTCCCCTATTATGACAATCCAAGAAAGCTGATTGCTTCTGCGGTAATATCGGCTAATTACCAAGTCTTTGTCTTCTCTCATCATGAATGGTAAGAGCAGGTAAAAGATGCCGTCAAGGAAACATCTCTTTGGGCACAAAATCTCTTCTCTCACCTTGCTGCAATGGATTGCAACGGCCTGACTATATTGCGTTTTCTATTATTCTTCAATACATAGTTGGATAAAATCGATGATAAAGTAATTCTTCGCCATTGCGCATGATCCATTCTTCCATTGAAGGTATATGTGCGGTGTATGGGTGAGGAGAACTGATAAGAAGATATAGTAACACCACATAGAACACTAAAGCCGTCCATTTACATCCCCATTAAACCTTATATTCAAGCATTCTCATCGGCTTACTTACTTGGATATAGCCACGGTCCAGGAATAAAAAGCTAATCAGATCACTTCGGCTCGAACCAGATACTTGTCATTGAAGAGGTTTGATCATGCAATCAAACTTCCAGCCTAGTAGCTCAAACTTCACCTGCAATATCTCTTCTCCCTCAAGCACGAGCTGCGGATCTTTCGAAAAAGAAGATGCACATGTTATCTGGATATCTTTGGGGCTGCGAAAGAAGCGAGATCATTATTAACAATCACACATTCAAGCTACGCGGTTTACTCTCGTACTTCTGAAATCTCAGTAATGGTTATCATCTAGTGCATGAAAAGACGCGCAGTCACCGTCTACCATGATACACTCTTTTCTAAACCTGCGAAGAGTATTTTGCAACCCTGATATCTTTGAAGGTAGCTCAATCTATAACGAAGCAGTCAGCTCATCTTTTCAATAGAAATACGCGTTCTGAATTTCAGACAGTTTCCCTTAACCCAAACTAAACTATCCCAAACAAGCAAACCACTTACTTCCGAGCTTCAAACCAAAAATACTACGAATTAAACCCCTCGCAATCCGATCACAACTTCCATCTCCTCATACGAGTCTGGAAGAAAGTGTATACTGTACCTAGGTAGTCATATAAAATGCCTAGATATACATAAATCCCAGTTCAGTAATCACAACCACGAGATGCTATTGTAAATATTCACTCGACATACAGCGTCATTCTTGGTGCGAATTGCGACTCCCTCTTTAGCTATATAGCTGTAGGTATTTTTCAGTCAGACTTTGTGTAACAGATACAGAACAAGAAGAATTTGAACGGAATAGGAAAAACGTGATCTGAGATGAAGTGAATATTGGGGGTGGCACGAGAGAGTCGAGATATCAAATAGAAAACAGATTGATAAGACAGAGCTCCATAGCTACCCTGTTTGTTTCTAATATTGAGATATAGTAAAAGCATTGGACACTGTGTGAGAATTCATTGATTCATTTATTTTTATCGCAGAGCTACTAAGTAAAGTGATATCGAAGCTAGACGCTAAACGCTAGAAGCGCGAGACCACTACAATGAGCAAAGACGATACGTAACATAAAATAATTAGAAAGCATCCCAGAGCTGAAGCAACGCCATCCATCATTCATGATATGTCATTGCATTTTTTTAACGTTCCTTTCCACCCTTCCCAAACACTCCATCTATCCATACCATCCATTATTACCCACCAAACTAAGCGAAGAACTTGCTATAAGCAGCCTTTTCCTTCTTAGCTCTCTCTGCTGCATTCTTCTTTACAGCAGATAATTCCTTAACAACAGCCGCATCTCCGGGAACTAATTTGTTGGCCTCCTCCAAATCCTTTAGTGCTTCTTCTTCATTCTTAAGTCCTACGTGTGCGATTGCGCGACGATAGAGAGCTTTGGCTTTATCAGTATCAGTGGTGCCTGAAACTCCGAGAGCGGCACTAGCGGTACGTTCGGCATCGGCAAAGTTCTTAAGCTTGTTGTGGAGGAGGGCAGAGTTGCTATTGAGAGTAAAACGGAGAGCTGAGAGGGTGGAGGAAGTTTCGGATGGAGAGGAAGTAACGTCTGGTTCTTCGTTAAGATAACGGAGACCTTTCTCGTATTTGTCGAGGGCGAGAGGGAGTTTATTGTCTTTGAAGGCGGCATTTCCATAGGTCTTAAGGTCGGTGACGATTTTGACGGTTTCTTCTGCGGTGGGAGGAGTGGACATATCTTCTGGGAAGTCTTTTTATGGGAAAATCTCTAGGTTAACCAATACTCCAAACAATCGAACGACAAGACAAGAGAGATAAAATGATAAGAGGAAAAATTGAAAAGAAGGAAAGCTGGAAATCTCGGAAATTGCTTTGAAGATATGACGGAAAACGAAAGACGGAATATTAAGGAGATATGTTGCAGATATGTTGGCTAGTTCTTGAAACAGTTGAAAAAAGATAATTTAGAAGATGAAGTACCTTCGTATGTATCGCCGGTAGAATCAGGAGTCTTTGCATCGGCAGACTCAGCTTCGTCACCGGTAAGCTCTCCACAGTCTTCGATGATGACTTCCTTGTTGGGCTTGTCACCACTTTGCGTGGGCATGTTCTCGATTTTGCGAACCCAATTTTTACCACTGAGGACTTGACCGAAAACGACGTGTTTGCCATCGAGATGGGGAGTTGGGACAGTTGTAATAAAGAATTGACTTCCGTTAGTTCCTGCGAGGTCTTTGTTAGTCTAATCTTTTATTATTTTGACCGAAAATCGTCAGATGAAGTGCGATCGTTGTACATACCTGGACCAGCATTGGCCATTGAGAGCAAGAAAGGTCTGTCATGCTTTTCTACGAAATTCTCATCGTCGAATTTGACACCGTAGATACTCTCTCCACCAGTTCCGTTGCCGGCTGTAAAATCACCTCCTTGGATCATGAATTGCTTAATCACACGATGGAAACCAGAACCCTTGTAGGAGAGAGGTTTGCCAGCCTTTCCAACACCCTTCTCACCAGTGCAAAGAGCTCGGAAGTTTTCTGCAGTTTTGGGAGTAATGTCATCGTACAATTCGAAAGTGATTCGTCCTAGAGCTTCTCCTCCAACGGAAATGTCAAAGAAGACTCGACTGCGGGGTTTGGTTCCTTCAGCAGACATTTTGTTGTTGAGTAAATGCTGGTGTATGAGAGAAGGGAATATAGAATGGAAAATTGAATAGAAATTAGGGTATCGTATGCAAAATGAATAAAGGTTCACAGATTATAGAAATTGATTGTTGTATTGCTTTTTTCTAATAATTTCAGCCTTCTTATGAGTAGAAGCTTCGAGATGGAGAGTTGGAATGTGGGGGTCGGCGTTTGTATCTTCCGATCTGAAGCTTTACTTAAAGTGGAGAATGAGGCTATTCACGTGTGGCATGACATCCACTTCATCAGGAAGGAAGGCCCAGAGGATTTCTTGCTTCATTGAATATTTTGTGGTTTACTTTTATAACCTAGAGAGGCTGTAATTTCAAGATTAACAAATGGAATGTCTTGAGACGTCTATAGACATCTATATGCATGTGGAGATGTTAACCGCTAGCCATTTCTCTGGCCATGCGCTTAGGGCCTCTACGTATACAGATTCACAGATTGTTCAGCCATGAACTTTGAATGGTCTGCGCTGCGATACGCCAAACCTTTCATGCCTTCTCATTTGACCTGGTTGACATGTCGAGTGTTACCTAATAGCATTAGTACCAGAACATACATAACTACATGCGCTTGATCAATGATAAGAAGGACGTACCGGGCCATCATTCACCAAAGCCACTTCCTACAATCAAACATTCGTTAGCAATATGACCCGAGCAGTCTAATAAATTGTCGTGTGACCTACCATCATTGCTTGGAACACACCATCTTTGACTCTTTCTGACGCATAACCTTGCTGGACTTTTGTTACAAAGAGTTGATATAATTCCCTAGCCTGGTCCCCTCCCATGGCTCCATGAAAGTCTGGTTTTGAACCCTTCTTCGTTGAGGCAAGTAATGTGAATTGCGAGACTGATATGTGAAAGGAATTGTCAGTCTGTGGGACTCCCATGTCTAAGGGTAGTACTCAATTAACCTCACATACCACAGAGAACTTCTCCTTGGATGTCTTGCACATTGTGTTTCCACTATGAAAGGAAATGTATTAGGACTGTAGTCAAACAAGAACAAAACAGCAACCAAATGACTCAATCAATGCCCGGTATGAAATAACAGAAAACCATTCTAAGATCAAGAGAAGTAAGAGACTCCTCGTTCATACCCGACCGCCATTCTCATCATCCCATAATCGCATTTTCAGGACTTTTGCTGCTAACGATTCTACATCTTTCTCTGTATCACCAGGAGCTACAGCGGCAAATACTAATATGCCTTTCCCAATTGATGATATCAGCTGCTTGTCTACTGTCACAGAAGCAGATAGAACACGTTGAAGTATAGCTAAGCAGGATCTAGTAAGTATCAAGTCTGTAGAGCAAAAAAGGAACGAGGGGTAAAGTTGGAAATGATACCCTTCATATTTACTAGGTGGGTAGGCAAATGACCAGGATTGAATCGGTCTTCTTGATCTTCTGACTATAATAAAGATCAATTGCTCTCTAGGAGTGATTTATACAATGAAGTGGGATGTTGAGGATTCCTAATAGTCTGAAGTTCAAGTCAACAATGGCGATAGGTAGGAACGAGACCCTCTCTATATCATGATCTACTTTTGGAACCATATGATGCAATCCCCACTTGAGCATTTATTTCATCCATAAGAAATAACCATTAATCACAGCCATATAAGATATAATTTTCCAATGATCAAAAGAATCGTAACATAATTCACCTAGTAATTATAAACGTAATAATCAATTCAAAAATCAAAATCAAAATCAAAATCCAGACTGTAACATATATTCATTCCATACTTAGCCATGGCATTCTTTCCGTAGGTTAAACCTTGCCCATAAGCATTTCCCCCACGTTCTTCTAAGGCTGCAGGTAATGAAGGTAAGGAAGGTAAGGTGCAAGCGAGGCTCTCTTCCCGCAATCTCACCCAAGCAATATGGTCGCAACGTGAAATCCAATTCAAAATTCAGCGACAACTTCTCAACCTCTCACCACTACACATTCACACAAGAACAACGCCTTTACTTGGTAGCAAGGTAATTTGTAAATTCCTTGTACTACCACCTTTTCACGCAAAAGCTCAAGCTAGACATCTATACCACGCATGGGGTCTGATATTCGTCAAACAAAGCTAGCCCCTTGTACACAACAGCAATCACCAAACACCAACCCATCGATACATTTCTCCGTACCCTCACAATTACACGATGGCGGCACGAAAACTTCAGCAAGAAGTCGACAAGTGCTTCAAGAAAGTCACTGAAGGCGTGGCAGAATTCGAATCAATCTACGACAAGATAGAGCAATGCACAAATGCTGCGCAGAAGGAGAAGTTGGAGGACAACCTCAAACGTGAGATCAAAAAGTTGCAGAGGCTTCGTGATCAAATCAAGACATGGGCTGCAAGTAATGACATAAAGGATAAGGGTCCTCTGTTAGATCACCGGAAATTGATTGAAACGGTAGGGCATATATTTTACTTGACTGTGGAGTGAGCTAAACTGTTGTAGCAAATGGAAAAGTTCAAGGCAGTAGAGAAAGCTATGAAGACAAAGGCATATTCGAAAGAAGGGCTGTCAGCGGCAGCGAAGCTGGATCCGAAGGAGCGCGCGAAAATGGAGACCGGGGAATTCTTGGGCAACATGGTAGAGGAACTAGAGCGCCAGATCGAGACAATGGAAGCCGAACGGGAATCGATATCAGCAACAATGAAGAAGGGGAAAACTCAAAGTGCCAAGGCCGATAGGATAGCAGAGCTGGACAACTCAACGGAACGACATAAATTTCATCAAAATAAGTTGGAGCTTATCAAACGCTGTCTGGAAAATGGTACTGTCGAGATTGAGCAAGTCAAAGATCTTGAGGAGTCCATCAAATATTATGTGACCGACAATATGAACGATGACTTCATGGAGGACGAGGAAATGTATGATGAGCTCAACCTTGATGAGGAAGAAGATAATTACGGCATGAATAATGATAATGACCGGGTATCATCACAAGACACACAATCGATACAGGAGGATGTACCAGATACAGATCTACGATCCAATAGTTTACCTGGGAAATCGAAATCAGGTTCAGAACCGCCTCTAGCTGCTGCACGAAGACCTTCTACGCAACTCAAAAGCCCTCTCCCTTCCTTGGCCACTTTACATACCCCTCTATCGACTTTGTCAACCAATGGAAGCTCAAGTAATCTTATGAAACCAGCCGCGGTACCTACACGTGCCCCTGGAGAGACTTTGAAATATGCTTCGGCGGCGGCGGCGGCTGCTGCTAGTGATAAGAATGGCCTTGCTCCTTTGCCCCCTCCACCTGAAACTTTACCGACCCCCGCAACGTCAGTCAGTCACCCACCTTTATCTGGAAGTGCTGGACGAAGACCGAGTGTGACGGCATCTCCAACAACTATACATTCACAAACTGCAAGTGTAAATCAGACACCTGTGACACGATCCAGTGTTCCAACTACAGATACGCCATCAAGTGCCCAAGCTAAATCTCCAGCTTTGAGTCAATCAAGTGCTGCACCTAGTGGAGCTAGCGTGTCCCATCCTGTTGAAAAAACAGAGAATACGAGACCAAATCTTTCCTCGAATTCGTCAGGGAAGCAACCAGCCTTATCTAAAACAGCAGAAGGAAAGAAAGGTTTGTCTATTGCTATCCCATGCAATTCCAATGCTAACAGTTCTATGCAAGCTGTTCCACCACAATCGAATGGTGTCTCGAATGGGCTTAAGTCAAGTACACCAGAGAACACAGAATCTGTATATCATCTGCCTTCTGGATTCCAGGATATGCTTCAATCTTTTGACGTAATTCAAAAGAGTGCCCCAGATGTTTTATCCACAGCATCGCAGAGAATGTTAGCATCATCCCAGGCTAGTGGTCCTGGCATGTCAGACGTTTCGCCTCCTCGTAGCTACAAACCAGAAACCCCTTTCAACACTCCATCATATTATCCCCAAGACGTTCCGTCGGTGCTAGATGACCCTAGGCTATATAACCGTATAGATGGAGAAACTTTGTTCTATGTCTTCTACTACAAGCAAGCCACATATCAACAATATCTTGCAGCTAGGTCACTAAAAGAACAAAGTTGGCGATTTCATAAGCAATATCAAACTTGGTTCCAACGTCATGAAGAGCCCAAGGAAATTACTGAGCTGTATGAGCAAGGAACTTATCGTTTCTTTGATTATGAGAGCACATGGTAAGTTTCACCATACTCATTCTTTTCCTCAACATCAACTAATCAATTATCTATAGGATGAACCGAAGAAAAGCGGACTTCAAGTTCATCTACAAATTCCTAGAGGACGATGTATGAATAATGTACTGGCGCCTATGGTATCTTTTGGTTGGAGGATAGGTTGGCGCAGTGGGAATTGCTCAACCAGTATCTGGCTTGGGGAAATGACCTTAGTTGTCTTAATAGCAAATACTCTTGCTCATCTGGTTCAATTCGGATGAAGTTTCTTAACTTACATGGCAATATTACTCAGAGAAATAAATGTTTGCTCGTTGTGATATCTGCCAAACTTCACCGTTCCATACTGGCTCACTGGTCATTTAAGTATTTCTGTGTTCTGTGAACGGCTAGAGACATGCATGATGAGACTACAATTGATGCCGATTGATGGAATGTACTCTCCAAGGCAAACAGAATGGGAGAGTTTCATAGCATCCATAGATACCAATTGTTCTCTTGCATTGGTCTTGACGAAACAGTCTCCATACTAAGAGCTGTACTTGAGTGTGAATGGCGAATCAAAACATTGACCTTATTCAGGGCTTATCATAAATTACTCAGGTGTGGGTTGATTGGATATTTCTTCGTATATGGCAATAGTAGCCCTAACTAGAGAAAATTAGACTTTGACCCAGATTCTCGTCTTTTGGTCGAAGACTTTGTCCTAAACGGTTGGTTTATCTCCATAGGTCGCAATGAAATGGCCTGCAGACATTATGTACGAGTATGACAACTTTGGGCATCATCACTTTCAATGTTTGATACCCAACTCCCAGATATTATAAGAGGATGTAAGCTCTCCCCAGATTTCAATTTTTTAAAAACTAAATCATGATCTCCTTGCATATTCCTTTTTGCCTCGTCTCTACCCAAGTACAACCAACTGCGCACAAGTTTTGGACCCCAAAGAGGGTTCGCTGAGCAGCCGACAATACATGGTATCCCACCTCGAAAACGCGACTTTGAATGGCAAATTCATAAGTGTCGGTCAGACACGGTATTGATTAAACATTGAGACTACAATCCTCTTAGTATTCTTTTGATCTCTTCTTGGATAATTCTGTACAGTTTATATCTCTACATCCTAATTGTTTCACGGAAGAAATACTAATGATAAGCAGGTCCTGCCCAGTTGTTGTCTTATATCCAGAAATGCCACATTTCGTAAGCATGTGGCTTGTACATGGATTCAGATCCTTGACGCAAGTGCTCGTCCTTTTACGATTCTTCATTCAGGACATGATGCAGCCTTTTCTTCACATGCGATGATGAGTCCACTGGATGTGGCAGTTGAGAAAGACACAGCCAAGCGTTACATCGGCGTCTGCCAGTTATCGTTAGCACAAGCAAATGAAACTGTACAACGAATGAAGGCAAAAGAAGGCGGACAGTTATTCCCGCTCTCTTCACATCTTGCTGCCTAATGGTACAGGTCCATTCCAAGGTTACCAAGAAGGTTCCAAATCGCAATGGTCCATAGGAGAGTAAACACGAATTTCCTGCTCTACAAGATGCATTTGGTGGAGGATAGCGGTCAGCATTAAAGCAATGATATAGGAACAAGTTGCCCAGATCAGGTTTGAAAATATATTTCCTTCTATTACGACGATTTTATGATACCTCAAGACTCGTCTTTACTGCGCCCCGCCGCCAATATGGTCAATCAGCGACCAGCAATTATGACACCATAGGGTTTCGAATCTACTAAGCGAAATGCCCCATTTTGATCGATTCCTGTGAGCATTCTATTGTTCTGTGCCTTGCTGCGCATATAGGGCATCAATGATCGCCGACAGACACAATGCCCTTTCACTTGCCTTTTCGGCTAGTCGGACCACAATCCAAGGATCATTATCGTTCGCCTTATTGAGGCTTAAGTTGCCCAAAAGCAAATGCTTCTTTTTTTCGAATGTTCGCCCGCTGTGCCGTTCAACGATAAGGCTAGAAGGTAGCCGGAATCCTAGCTTCATTTCGACATTACACAGACCAAAAAGTTGCTGACATGTTTTGTTGGCGAGTCAAAACTTCTCAAGTCCTTGACTCTCGGTGAGTTCATCAAGTTAGATCCCGCTAAAAAAGTGCGAGGGGCTTTCTATTACCTTTCTATACATATGAATGCAATAGTTGAAGCATCCGGAGCCATTTAAAGTTTTCCGGGGCAACTTCTCACCATAGCCATCACAAGGCTATGAGACCCCATTGGTAAATAATAAGCTATGTTGATATTAACCTCCGTCTAATTGCACAGGTCATAGGTGATGCATGTGAGTATTTCAGGACTTGACTGACTGTGAGGGAATGACTGTTAAGAGTTTGTTATTGAGAAGCCTCGCAAATTCCCACGCCTATTAAGCAGCTATATCATGTTACGAATACATCAAAAACGTCAAGATCTTCATATCAATATACAAGCATCACTGTCCTTCTTCCTAAATTCTCCTTCTATACCAATATTTCTTTCGTCAACTCTCCTTGAATATATCAATACCTGGTAAGTAAACTTTATTTATATTGTCGATCTTCTATTCGCATGACCTGGTCAAATTGCATTCTAAACAGAAGATGATACCTTTCAAGTGAGGTCTAGACTAATATCATGGAAAAGGGTAAACAGAACCATTTCCAGAACAAGCCTGCTATCTATCATGTATTCCAATTCGTTTGATAAAAAATTGAGGCCAAGGCAATACCTTGATCAAGGTAGACTTCGGCCTAATCCGACTACAGCACCATCAATGGGGGGATTTCCAATGAATCGAATCCGTTCTGACCAAAGCTCGATCAGCACCCAATCCGGATCTTCTGGAGACTTCTATTCTCCGGATCTCATGAATCGAAACTATTCGGATCAAGGCTCAACCAGTACCCAATCTGGATCATCCAAGGATTTCTACTCTACGGCTCCTAGCAGTCCATCCATGTCTTTCGATTTTAACCCCTCCCACTTACCGCAATACTATGACGATGGATATAATCAGGGGTACAACAACTACCCCGCAGCATCATATAGTATGGAGAGAAGTCCATCAAACCAAAGTCATTCTCTCAAAGCAACACCATCTAGTCTCGGCTGGTCTCCCGAGACCGAACTCCTCAGACTTTACAAGTTGATCGTACCAAAGGGAAAAGAGCCATATCTAGAACTACTTCCAGGGTACACAATTCATCAAGATACACCCCAGCAGGTTTTTCTTGATCCACCTAGGTACGTCGATCTGCACTTGAAGATTCTAACGAATACTCACACAAACAAAGTGATCCCCAAAAAGGTGTCTATCCTTGTCAATTCCCAATCAACTGTCCAGGCAAGCAATTCCGAAGGCCTGCGGACCTAGAACGCCATTATAGACATGTACACGCCGATGCCGACCAGAAGGGTAGTTTTCCCTGCGACTATAAACCCTGTACCCGATCCAAAGGTCCCTTTACTCGAAAAGATCACTATCGAGACCATCTCAAAGACTTCCACAAAGAAGATATTGGGACTGCTAAACAACCCAAGAATACAAAGGACCCTAAGAAGCTAGAATCTCTTCAACAAGCGTGGCTCGAAGAACGTCAGATCGATCCGAGATGGTGGAGATGTAGAAAGTGTCTCCGGAGGGTTTATGTGGATACGAATGGATATAAATGCGTAAATTGCAACGAGGAATGTGCAAAAGAGAGGATAGAAGCGAGGGAGCAAAAGAAACGAGACGGGGATAGAGAGAAAATGTACTACTCGGGTGAGAGAGCGGATATGATGTATGCAGCTCAGTGCACGAGTTGTGATGGAAGCATGTGGATCTCAGATGCAGGGTTTGGGGAAGAACATTCGGTGCCCTGTCCGATTTGCGTGCCGAGTGAGGAGATTAGCTACGAGGATGTAGAGTGGCAGGAGGATGGGGGTTTCTAACTGGAGTACGAAAATACTTATTAGGAAGTCTGGGTTGACTTCTTGGGGAGATGTGAAGAGTTATGATTTAACGAGTTAATGTGTTATGAAAAGAGAGTTGTGGCTCTTGAAAACAAGACATATTCATCCGCTGGTGCGAGGCGTTGGAGTTGGGCCGCATATCAAACTGGGTGGCGTTTAAACGTAGACAGAGACGGCTGGTTGCTTTCTTGGAAGGATTTGGTGTTGGTGTCGCTTTTCGTGCTACTTTATTTATTGTTTTCGTTTTCCTTTCTTCACAATATATATTTATCTTTTCATCTTCGCGTGTCCAAATATTCATCCATTCATATCTATAGTTTTTTTCTCAATGTTCTACTTTTTGAAAGGAGCAAATAGAAAACATTCAATTTTTTGCGTCACTTTTGCGTCACCTTTCTCTCTATTTCTCCTTTCCTATTTCTCTCTCCCCGTCTCCCCTTAGGACTTATTCTCAACACTTTCCTCGCACCTCGTCTCATTTCTCATTTTCTATTTCTCATTCTCTACTTCTCACCTCTTTCATGTCTCTTTTCTCTCTCTCTAATCATTCCCCAAAGCTCCAAAGAACAAAAACAACCACACTGTGCTTTCCAAAAAGCATCCTGCGTGGCGATTCCAGAAGAACACGAGAATGCTGGCTTGATTGGAAAAGGAGTTATGTTTAGATTGATGTTACTGTTACTGTTGAGACGGAGAAAGGAGAAAGGAGACTGGAAAAAACAAATCATATCACATCATATCATATCATGATACAGAAGAAGATAACCATATGACCACATGACAGACAGACAGACAGATAGTAAGATAGTACGATAGTATAGCATCATATCAACAACCCATCACTCTCAATCTCCCAGCGTTTTACACTATGGATAGGAAATAGAGAATGAATTTGAATTGTCTTGATTAATTAATTAATAGATAAATAGTCCGTGGAGTTGTGGAGTCGTAGAGTAGTGGCGCAGCGCAGTTATATCTTCCAGAATATATATATATATATACACATATTTCTGTGTTTTTATTTCGTCTCCCGCTTTTGATTCTTCTTATACTTTATTTTGTATTCTATCCAATCCATCTAATCCATCTAATTCAAACTGCAGAGAAATAATACAATATAAATAGATCCTTCTTGATAGTAGTGGGAGAAGAAGATAGATATCTAGATAGATAAAATTGACAAAATCGATCTGATTACTCTGTCTTGAAACTTAAAATTACCCATCTACTCTCTCCTCTCTACTCCAGAGTATATTACATACTATACACAACCTATCACTCACAAGAAAACAAAAGAAAAAGAAAACAAGACAGAAAATAACGACCAAGGCACCTACGAAAGCAGTTCTAAAAGCGAATTCTCTGAATCTCATAATCACGTATGATGCATACATACATACATACATACATACATACAGAGAGTAACTATATACATGGACAGCATCGCATAGCATGGAAACAAAATATGAATATAGATATTCATATATATATACTCGTAATAAATATTTAATTTAACATAAGAATATTGACAGCAAAAGTAATATAATATAGATGCTCAATATAGAATTCCACAAGACGAAAAGGGCTCTCTCCTGTGTTCTTCTCCATACTTTTCCTCGCCTTTCTCATCTTTCTTCCTCTCGTGACCAACTCCACTCTCCTCTTCCCATACTAAAACATACCCCCATCACCCCTTCCTTCTCTTTGTATATGTGCCCAGCTCCCCATCGTAGGCGACACAATTTCCTCTCTGAAACCTTCTACCCTCGCGCCTCTTCCATTTCCAGTATCAATACTCATCCCCTCTGGGATACCCATCCCCATCCCTGTTGCAGGTGCCGGTGCCATTATGAAACCCCCATCATTACTACTTCCACTTCCCTGACTCTTGGGTTCCTGTTTTCCCTTCCTCCTCAATCCACCTAGAAAACTCCTACTTTGTTTTTCCTGTCTATTAAGTCCAAGTCCCCCTAGACCCTTTCCACCTGGCGGACTAGAGGCTTGCATGCCCAACTGTTGTGCGCTGTTATCTGACGGTGGTGGTGCATAAGGTCTCTGATATTTTGAATCTTTCCCAAAAGTTGCCTCCCAGAAATTTTGTTTCTCTTTCTTTTCCTTATCTTTGCTACTCAAGGTAGAGATCGTGCCTATTCTTTCACTTCCACTGCCTGCGGAACCGGGAGCGCGAAGATATGTTTGGCTTGTGTTATTTATACTTGTGGCATTGCTATTACTCATTGAGTAGTCCTGCCAAGGAGGTGGGAGGATAGAATGTTGATGTTCTGAATCTGGTTGGAAATACGATTGTGTCGGAGGGAGTGGGAGAATTTGAGGGGATTCGTGGAAATGTGTATTCTGGAGACCTTCGACTATATCTTCGAATTGGAGAGAAATCTGATCGGCGACGCGATCACCGTACTCTTCGGCTTTGAGTATACATTCATCGGTGCGCTTCTTGAGAGCTATACACAACTCGTTGAATTCACCAAGATCACCTTCAAAGTATTGAGTCATGGAATTCGAGGTTCCTTCTAGCCATAATTTGACCAAGTCGGCAAAACTTCGTGCGTGGTCAATCAAGTGCGGCAAAGAAGGAAATCCTTCTCGAGAAGTGGGAGGTAGTCTTGCGAGAATGGTAATGGGTGTGGAGTACGACGCAGGAACCGCAAATGTTGTACGATCCGGGGCTATAGCACAAATAGAATCGAGAAAATCCTTCACACCTTGACGATGCTGATGAAGAAATTTGTTCATGGGTTCCATCCATGACTCTTTTTGACCAAAGCTTGATA